TTAAAACAAGTGATGAATTAAAAGCTGCAACCTTTTTTGCATATACCAAGATACAGTAACGCTTACCTGAACCCATACGTTATGACGTAATTCTTTATTATACTGCATTGTTGAGGCCTGTCCAAGTTGCAACTTCACCTCTCACACGCTGTGACACTGTCAGCATGTAGCATGCAGTTAGAAGATGTATCTTTTCCAGAGATGCCACAGACACACCAGCAGCTGCTACTCTCTTGTATTCCTTTCTCACGACTTTTTCATTTCACTTTCATTCTTACTTTGTGGCGGATGCAACTTGAAATGTGGTTTCAATACTTTTCAGAAAAAAACAATTAAGTAAAAGTAAAATGACAAATGATGAAAATAAAAGCCCTTCACCCTATGCCTTTTTAATCTGTCCAAATCTGAATTCATTGCATTAAGACTGGAAGCTAAGCTAAGCTAATCAGCTGCTGGCTGTATATTCATCGTACAGACGACAGACATCTAACTCTTGGCACTAAAACAAAATGTCAAGGTATCATAAAGACTTAACTTTAAATAAACACATTCATGTATCTCTATTCAAGGGATACTATTTATTTTCTTGATCTTCATCCAGGGAAGATACTTTTTTTGATTCTGTTTGCTGTGCTGGTGTTCTGTCTGTTTTTTGTGAAATCATCGCCGTTGACTGAGGAGCACAGTCTCTACACCGCACGAAATCCGTCTGTACTGTGCAGACTGATTTAACTAGGTTGTCTCTGTGATCTATTGATTGCGTCTTGTTTGTCTGGGTCTGCCCATCCATCGTTCATATAAGTTATTTCAGGTGATATCTTAATCACAGTTGCTCTGACTCTCTGACTATATATGCTCAAACTGTATTCCAGACTTTAAAAACGTGTATTGATTTGATCACTGGAGGTCAACAAAAATATCTCTCAGATATCCCTGTCAAATTTGGACAAAACTTGATGAATAATTCTTGGCACCACTTTCTAGTGTCTAAACAAATTACATCATTGGCTGGAGGGGGTAGGTCTTATTAAAGGTTGGCATTTCAAACTGACAGGCTGTACATGTACAACAACAGGCTCATTTCTGGATACAGTTGAAGAGGTGAAGCACATTTTTTACTGTTTGGCACTAGCTGTGCCTTAATCATGCCTGAGGGACGATGTTTACTTTTATACTTAACTAATCTCTCTTATATTTTGAGAGGTCATTCTATGGCATCGAAAGGATTGTGTGCTAACTGAGGCAATGGCACACAGCTGTAGCGTAACCCTACACCAGTATCTCTCAGTCAGGCTTGGCTACCAAACACCAGAGAGCATACAGGGCTGTTGCAGGGCAGGGTGGGACAAGGGAGAATCCAAAGTGCGTGGCAAGTTGGCAGACAGATCAAACACTCTGCCCTGACCCCTCATACTCAATGTTGCAGATACTTCTTTGAAATAAATAGAAGGAATAGTGCCTGGAGTGTAATGATAACATCCATCATTACACCAAAGATAGCGGTCTTACAAAAAAAGTCCTTAGGGATAGTGAATAAATGTTAAATAATGTTGCCCAGGTTTATTACAACACAACTCACACAGAGAGTATGTATATCGCATGTGTGAGCAAGTAAAATAAAAAATAATTGATATCTTTATATATATTTATATATTTGTATTTTCCTGTGAGCAAGTGTGTTTTAATTTTACCCAGTACCTGCAGAATGTCTTTATTACAGTCATTTATCAGCCATCCATAAATGGAATATAATACTCATAGTTATGTTTTCATGTATTCGTGTATAATCATTATCATCGTTATGTTTTTGTTACCTTAGAATGAGCCATTTTTATTGACAGACACTCAGAGTTTCCTTCAATGGATGCCGCCATGTTGAACCACCATTTTCCTAGCCCAGCCCCACAACTGACTCCAGATAGAGCCATTCTCATTCTCCCTTGCACTTGCAAGGGGAGGGTAAAGTGAGTGAGTTGTAATCTGCTTCTAGAGTCCACTAATCCTACACACTGGTCCTTTAATTCGATTCACTTAGTTAGTTTAGCTTGGTCGATAACGGGACAATAAGTTCAGAAGACATATTCATATCATAGACTCCTGTCACATAACTGTCTGCAACCTGTTGCTCTCTTGTGGAGCATGTTTTTTCTCCAACAGAAGAAGTTGGAATGCATGCAAGTTAATACATTTTGCAGTGTCCAGACCTTATAACCTCATAGGCTGTCATGAGAGAAACAAATCCAACTAGGAAGCTATAGGATCAACTCAAACCAAGCACTAAAAGCAGTTTACCTACAGCTCTTGAGACACAACCACATCACAGCAGGTTCACATACCATAGCAATCACCAATACATAGTCCAAAAAAATCCAACCCACCGCTCACACGTTACAAACTTTAAATTTAAATGTACCATCCCACAAACACGTAGCACAGCCCAGGCAGGCTATTGTTAAGTCCAACTATGGATCACTTAAATTCTTCTAAATAAATTAGCATTGTTCAGTCTGATGACATGGAATTCTGCCTTCTTGAAGGCATGAGATCATTTGAGAACAAATCAGTATGAAGCAAACATTCAGGCACTAATGGGGCTGCTGTTTTGGTTCAACAGCATATCATTGAAAGTTTGTCATGCTAATACAGGTTTATAAGACAAAAACAACTATGACAGCTTGTCTTCATACAAGTTCAAATGCAGCCATTTTGAGTGGAGCAACCAAATAATAATTAACTCGGTGTGTCAGAAGTGGGTCCTCATCAGCTTGGAGAGTTCTTCACAGTGTCTAAACATCCCAACAACACAATTAAATTCAGGTAGCAGCTCTCTTAGAATTGCCAAGAGACAGGACCTTGCCACTCCAAGACATATGCTTTTAGTCCACTCTCTCGTCTGTAATGAGGAGAGCTGGCTGGAGGATCAAAGGCTTTCACTGAACCCTGATACTAAATGTTGCTGATGATCTGTCCAAAGGGAGAGCTATGACTGATATGTAGATCATACCAAAACAACTAGAGAGGTCTGGCTGCTTTAATCAGGTCTTGGAGGGAGACTGGGGTGAATAACTCACTTGAATGAGAATTTACCTTCTCTGCACGTCTGCCTTTGCACACAGCTAGTGTAAACACTGCAAGGTGGTAAAGGAAATGAAGGAAATGGGAAAACAAAGATCATTTTGATAGTTCTGTACTATACAGGTATAGTGTGATGGCTTATGCTGGGCCAGGAACAGGCTTATGGTGGCGTAGGTAAAGACTGCAATGCTTCGCAAATGGGAGGAGGAAGAGGAAAGAACAGGATGAGGGTGAAGAGTTTGAAGGAGCTGAAGCCTACCTGTGGGCTAGCTCTTTGTCATGCCTCCCCCACTCATCAGCTCTCTCAGCTGCTCTCTTTATTTTCTCCCATCTTCCCAGTCACTGCTACCGCTGATAGTCTGCATGATGAAAATATGAAGATCAGAGTTACAGGGAAACGCCAAAGAAAAGCTTTTCTACCCTGAACATAGTGAAATCAATCCCGCTGAAATGGAAATGAGGCACAACGAGAAAATGAACAGCAGGAGCGCCAGAGGTGGGCGACAAAATGCAGAGGGCGAGGGAGAAGAAGGGTTGGGGCTGTTACAAATCAAGAAACATGTTTCAACCTGTTGAAACTGCTTTGTCAGCAAACTGGCCTGAATCCAATAACCCCCACATACTTCCTCTTTCTCCCTCCTGTCCTCCCCTGGCCAACAAAGGAAAAATGTTAATAAACTGGTGATTGCAGATCGAATCAAACCTCTCCAAAGAGCACAGAACAATAAAGCTAATCTGTCTGTCCCTGGCACAATCCTAACAAGAACAGTGGAACGTGAATGGCATTTCAGAGCAGGGTCGCTATCTATTAAGCTGCCACACAGCTCGTCTAAGGACACTCCAGAATGAAACATGGGGGAACTGGATAAATGAGCTTTTCCCTTAGCTTTGCCGTGGGGGAAATTGATTTATATCCTCTGTGTTATTCTTCACAGAAGTCATTATCACCCCTTTGTGACTGATGCTTATCTTTTTATCATCGCAGTGAAAATGGCAATTTGCACTCTCTGCAAGGAAGAGGTTTAATATTGTTAAATCGGCGCAGATAGTGTACAATAAAAAACAATGGCCCATATTCAGTGCTTTCAGGCTCATAACCTCATCTTTCTTTTGTGCCAATCTCCCCTCTCTGTCTGTCTGTGAAAAGACAGGGAGAAAGGCATTCTGATATGCTGGTAGATACTAGCAAACAAAGACACGGAGCAGCACGCTATCACCTCTGTGTTGACGCCACAAGGTCCAGAGTTGTGAAAAGTATCTGACCTCCATCTCTGCAAGATTACAGCACAGAACAAAACGTGGAAGGGGAGAAAAAGTGGATATAGATCAAATGCGTGTTCAAACAAACTCTGCCGGCGTCAGGCTCAGCATACAATAAAGAACAATGTCGCCAGGCAACGCTGGCACCCTCCCATTCACCCTTTTTCCATATTTCCCATCTTCCCTCATTCTGTTGGTGTGATGAAATGATAGTCTATGAAATATTAAACAGTATGCCATATGATCAGTAAGCTTAAGGTTATACAATCATAATGATAGACTGCAGTCTGACAAAATGTCTTACATTTGAAGAACAATAGAGCTTATGAAATATGAATAAATAATGAATATATATTTCTCACTTGGTAAAAAGGAGAGGATGGATGCAGAAATATCAGTTATATGTCTGTTTGCTGTCAGCCCCCTTCTCTGCAGGAACATTTTTAGAAAATCTTTGTTCCTTTAGCTGTCACCACCTGCTTCACCTCACGTTCATCCTTTCATTCTTGTTTCGTTGTTTTCATTTGATAAAAGAGAGATTTCTAAGAAGCACCTATTTTGACACCACAATGCCTTAGAGCAGTTCAGAGATCAGCCAGACACAGCTACACTTTGATTTAAAATCAAAGCATGAAGTAAGAAATGGGCACAAGTTCAAACACAAATTTGGATTTTTTCATCAACTTTGTTTTATGGATGTACTGTATATTTCTTCTTCAGGAAAAGAGAATAAAATAAGATTAATGTGAATGGGTCAAAGCGGTTCAGTACATTTTCATCGCCTTGTTGACAAAGGAAACAGGATTACATTTCTAAAGTGTATATTTGTACAAAATATGCACAATGTATACATACAAATGAAAATATAATTATCAAGTACATATCTATGTTTCATTGATATATTTTTAAATACAGTTAAAATATAGCTAAATACATATTAATGAAAAATAATAAAAATACAAAAACTGTAATTCATGTTTTTTTCATAAATATTTCACCTATTGCCACTTTATAACAACCAGCCCTTGTGTTTCAAAACCTGTAATACACCTATAGCCATTTCTATATTTATTCACTCAACATTAATTCTTAGTCCGCACATAAACAAAGTGCACTACACCGCTTTCCATTTGCCGGTCAGGCCCTCAGCAAAGCCTCTACAGAGAAAGGTAATGGCCTCACAGCTGGAGTCCTGACTGAGCTGCCACGAGGGCTCTTGACAGAGTCAGCGTGAGCGCCTGCCTGGTCGGCAGGAGTGTCTGTGCACGAGCCCTTAGCTGTCAGGATTCTGGGATCAAAAGTCCTGCTGGGTGCACTGACGTCTGGCCTGCCCAGGATACCCTGATCTGATCCAGAAATAGAGTGTGTGACAGTTGAAGAGCCATTTGAGTCCATTATTTCTCTGAGTTCTGAAGGGGATTTGACAAGATCTAGACCTGAGAAGATGCTGCCATGATGTTTGAGTCTTTGTTGTGATGATAGATGTATCAGCTCTGGTTGGTCTTTCTTCTCACAGCTATTCCAGCTGTTCTGCACCTCCTCATCCTCCCTTTTTTGCTCTGCGCTTTGGCATAAAAAGTCATTATAGTCACCTTCTGCAGAGGTTTTGCTCTTTAGGTGGAAAAACTGATAGAACTGGAAATCACACTCATACAAAGGCTTATACTTATACACAGGCACATAACTGGAGGCGCCTGCAGTAGTGTGGTCCTTGTTGAGAAGACAGCAGTGAAGGCTTGGGGAGACAGGCAGGGGCGGAGGGTGAAGCACAGGGACGAGGCCAGAGGAGGTGAAGGAAAGGTCTTGCAGCTCTCTCTGTCTTAGCTCCCGCTCCAGCATCACATTCTCCAACTCCTTGTCTGCAAAGGCTCGCCTCTTCCTCATCCGGGCGCTGATGGAGGGACATGTGAAGTGTGTTTGGTCGCGCTGTGTCTGCTTTGACCAGCAGGAGGTGTCATCCTCCAGCGGCACTACTGGTTTGAGCCCTGCATTGGGAGCAAAGCCACATGCTACTTTTATGTACTCATATATTTAATTTATTTATGAATAATGAAGTTTTTCCAACCAATTAATTGTCGTGTTTATGTTTAAGTACTTTGTTCTGTATTATTTTAATCATGCAGTTGGTTAGCAGTGTCATTTTTGCTTTACTGAGAGCTCAGAGAGGCTGAGAGGGCTATAAAGAAGACAAAGCCTCCAGCAGGATTTGACTGCAAGCCAGCAGGTATTAAAACACACTATGTATTACAGTAATGGCCTGTTGTTGTGAAATAGTGAAGCCACAGTTATCACATTTGTTTGGATAAATTAAGTGTGTGTAATGCTGGGAAATGACATCTGAGAAGAATTACTGGCAGTGTGGGCCCAAGCAGGCCTTCAAAATGCAGTTGCAGTTACGATGTCAGCATATGTACACAAAAATCATTCATTTATGTGAAAGTATGTCTATTTATGGTGACATACAGATATCTGTTTATTCAGTGACACTGTAGGGACTAACATCCTGTATAAGAACAAACACTGGTCCCCTCAAAGTCAACTATTTATTTTTGGTTGAGACTAAGCTTAGTCTTAAACTAAGACTAGAACAAAGGTTGGGGTTATACATGGATGGGTCACAGTTAATATTAAGGTAAACCTCCAGGAAACCAAATCTTTGAATGAAATATTGATCTGATTTATGTAACTGAATTTTACTACACTTCTATTCCAAGTGAGGTTACTTTTAAAGGTTTTTGTACCAGTTGCAACTCACCTTGGACAAGTACAAAGAATTTAGTCTGACAGATCAGCAAGCAGAGCATCACTTGCTCCACTATGAGACGACAAACCAAACTGATCAGTTTGTGATCTTGCATCAGTTCTGGGGAACTCAGTGTATTAATAACAATAAAGCTAAATGTTAAAGTTGACTTTAAGAGATCCATCTGGGGGAGAAAAAAACCTGCACTTTCTATCACAGTCTAGGAGAGAAGAAGTACGTTAATAAGAGAGAAGGTGTTAATTAAACTATACCCTGCAGGATGCTCTTAGCAAGGATGCTTGGCTCGGCTGCTCTGGTGTAACGCTGATAGGCTGTCCTCCGCAACGGAGCAGCACACCTGACCCCCCTCTTACCCTGGGAGAAACATGGGAACAGGAATTAGACATTCGGACATAATCATATTATACTGAGACCATGCCCCAAGGGTAATTAAAGGGAATTAATACATTATGTAAGAGGCAAGTAGAGCTCCTTGTGTTTCTAAGATACAAGAGATATGGTGTGTTGACACTGGAGACATGTGCTAAGTATAAATGTAAATCATTTTGTGAGGAGCATTTAAATGTCTTGCTCTATTCTATACTTACTATTTAAGTGAGTATTTTATTATTGCAATATTTATTTATTTATATACAATCATAAATATATAGTGTATATATAGTCTTTGTTGTTAAAGATATTTTGATCTTAAAGAGACTTAGTGCTTAAATAATGTTCAACTTAACTGAAAAGCTCACTCAAGTCTTTAGAATAACACCTAGGAGCCCCACTACTACCAATTACCTTGTACTAAAACTTCACTCAAATGTTAAATATCTGTTTTAACTATACAAAAAAAGAAATTTCCTTTTTTGTAGAAAAGCACAAAAAAAAACAAAAAACAGCTTCAACCTAGTTCTGCACCCATATTCAAGTAAGAGCTTACTTCTGTACTGCTATGGGCCATGAGATGGTCAGACTAATGTCAGTCACACAGATTGTTTTAAAATATGGATAATAGTAATATTAGTGCAAATTCAGCATTCAAGCTTTATGTCTAAGCATTTCTGTAAAGTGTAGAATATTTCATGCAAAGATTTCTCTTCAGAAAATTCTATTGCATGGACAGCTGAAGAAAATAATGTGCTGAATTAAAATAGCTACATTCTGACCTTTAGTCTATGAGCCATTATACTTAAAATATACTATAAACTTTAAACATTTTATCCCGGATGTTGTTTTGCTCTCCATTGTTTGTCCGTTAATGACGGTTTGTCTCCTGATAATCGTTTACTGAAAGTCATGGGTTCACCCATCTGTTCTCCATCACTGACCTGCCCTTGTGCTCTCCTCACCTCCGCAGCTTGCTGCCGCCTCAGTGCGACCTGAGCTGCCATGACGCGCTGCCGCTCCACCACCAGCAGGCAGCAGGCACAGCGACAGTCCCTCCAGCGGCAGAAGCGTTTGTGGCCTTTCAAACACGAAACGACGCCGTGGTTGCGACAGCGGGCGCATTTGGGGCTCCGGGTCATCTTGCGTGGTTTCTGCTGATGGTGCTCTGAAGACGGGGAAGGTTTATTTGCTCCTCTGTCCCCGCGGCAGCCCCGCTGCCCTGCACATCCGTCAGGACTTGTCACGTCAACAACTTCTTCGGATTTTAGTACATCAAGTTTTGCTGTGGTCTCCAGCTGCAGGCCTCCTACCAGCTGAGAGGACATCTATGACTAAGAGGACCGGAATCTCACGTTTTCACCGTGATGCACTATGCTGAGCAGACTTTTACGCACAAGGATTTTAACTCAAGATACAACTAGTCAAACATGATTATGATGGTTTCTCATTAAAGTAGAATCAATCTAACTCTAAATCTAAAATATTAATTCATTATCTGTCAAAATGTTATTCAAAAGCTGATAGAGCTGATAGATTTTAACGGTTATGTTGTATAACGTCGCATTTGAAACACAGGAATACAATTACGAATTAAGAAATTGAATTCCAGCACTGCTGCACCTGCAACATAACACGCACAGACTGCAACAGGTTCTCTTATACGAAATAAATCAGCTTCCATCGGACAGAGACTAAAACGACTGTGCGCCACAAACTTTACAGCAAACTAACTCCTATTGAACACCAAGCCGTGAGGTGTGGTGTCCTGCTTCAGCCTGCAGCCGCTGCTGCTACATGACGGTGTTTTCAGGGTGGAAACTTTGCAGCCTACCGCCAGACGTTTGAAATGTTAAGCCTCTCTCAGCTGCTCTCTGACGCTGTTTCCAAGAACAAGCGGATAGTAGACCGGGCCACAATGCCGAACTCCTGGCGCGGGACCCGAGAGCAAAGGTTTCGGGAAAACCGTTTGCAGCAAAAGCAACTCCCTCTCCCTATAAATCCCCATACCTGCCCTGTCCTGCCCACCTTCGAAGTTGTTCTCATCTTTCAACTAGAGATGCTGGATCATGCCAAACCCACATCTCCAAATTATTCCAGGCAGGGGTTCAGCAAGACAAGTTAGCAGATGTGTTAAAGCATGTCATTTAATGAATGGACATTCGCTAAGATGTTTCAATAATATTTTATTCTATAAAAAGGGAGTACAACCACCACTACAACCAGTCATAGTCGTTACATTAATAATATACACAGAGAGAGACCAGGCGAACTTAAAACATACAATCACGTTATGTGCCCGTGAGGGTGCATGTGTGTGTGAGCTGAGTGTTTTACCAGACTGATACAATATGGACTAATTACGCACGCGTCTCGGGTAGAGTATGCATGGGGCGAGAATACCATTTTCATATTACCTAGGAGTAATCTTCACACTCATATTTATTCATAATACTGTTAAATAATTCAATGAGTTAATGGCTCTCTCTCTCTTGATGTTTCTAGTGTCATCATTTCTGGGCCGAACAAAGAATAATCGAAAACCATTGAAAAACCTTAGTAAACCTTGTTTAGATAAGTGTTTTTGACATTGTTTTACTATGAGTGACTAAGTCTAAATTTCTCCTTTTTAAAAACGCATATAATTTTATGTTGTCAGGGAATTCATTATGTGATGCAAAAATGGCATAATAGTTACTGAACCTATTATTAATACAGGCTACACTTGCCCTTGGATTTTCATGTGTAGAGTAGATTATGTATACAGTGAATTTCATAGGCTGGTGATATGCTGCACTCGTCTCCTCAATAGCATACACTTAATGCTAATGCAGTGCCATGTATTGTGTATAAAAAGAACTGTTTCCTTGACCCTTCACTATAAAAGGCTGCAACATACAGGAGCATGGACTACACTGAGATGGTATGAAAAGTGTGCTCCCTACTGGTTCAATTGTGTAATTACATCCAGGGTAGTTCTTGTCTGATCTCCATCATATCTTATTCAAATAGCATTCACCACCGGTCCATTTGTTAGTCAGATTTCCACAATGTGGCCCAACACTGAGCAACCAGAACACATCTTCTTGCTCTCCTCCAACCGCTTCAGGGGTTTCTATAATCAGACTAGTCATCACTGTAGGTCCTGACAGGACTAACTCGAGTGGTTCTCCACTACAGCACCTAAGTTTAGCTCATGATAACTAATTATCACAATTTTCATTTCATGCTTCAGGCTAAGAATGATTACCTTATATTAAAACATCTTAAAATTTATTTAAATTGCACATGGTTGCTACAAAAGAGAGATATTTTTGCAAAAAGCCTGATTTAATGTAACATATGCTATGTTTTTATTTGAATATGAAAATATGCTAAATTAATAAAAAGGAATAAATTGCCTTTTATATTTTCATCATTCAGATTCTGTTAGTGTGAGGCTTCTTTACTGCAAGTTTATCTGTAAAATGAATTGATGCATACATCACAATAAAGTCAAAGGATGCAAATATACTATATGTGTAAAGGTCAGGATACTGGCCTTTTAATATTCATTCCATGTGTACATTTACCACAAGGTTAAAGCAACTTCAAATGCACTAGAGTAACTAGGTAACATATTATATACCAAAAGAAGTGTGACTGGGTTTTAAATATATATATATATATATATATATATAGACCTACAGTCTATATATATATATATATTATAATTATTATTATTATTATTATCTGATGCTCAGGGGCTCAGATGGCAAAGGCCCAGTCACTTTTGGTCTTGATCCTAGACTTAGCCATGGACCAGAAGTGCCCTGCCGGGAGATTTCAGGATGGCAGCTTATGAAGGGTTAAAAGATCATATGTCAAAGATGTAAGTAAGAGTCAGAGCCACATGATCCCCAAAATATATAAAATATAATCAAACAATTCTGAAACTAACAGACAGCCAGTAGAGAGATTGATGTTTTGTGATGATCTGATGCTTAGTTCTTTTCAATAATCAGGCAGCAGAATTCTATGCAATCTGGAGGTCTATGTTTATATTTATCTCCAAATCTCTGGAGAGGATGGACCTTTGCAGGGAAAGTAATAGATATGAATAGAATATATATTTTACCAACCAGACACAGTTATATATTGTTTTTTTATCATTGTCAAATGTCATTCTGCAGTATATAGATAGAGCACTGGTCGGGTAAAAGGAGCAAACTTTCCCACCACTAGCAGTGGTACCTCTAGTTTTCCAGAGTGCTCCAACTAACACTCAAAGGGACTCTGCAGAATGAAATTCAATCCTGTCAGGTGAAAATCAGCAACCATGGTGACCCCATATGTATCAAAGGATGCGCTCAGAAGCAGCAAGGAAGGCCATATCAAAGGAAGCTTTCCCCAGGGACAGCTGGGCTACTACAGTACCCAGGGGAATTGGTAATAACTGAATACCTTTCACACCAACTGAAGAATTTTTGAACAAAAAAATGGCATCTTGCACACATTCTAAAAAACAGTTTAGTCACAAAAGTACCTTATATGATTTATTTTTCATATGCATGACTGCATGGTAGTGGTAAGGTATAGTGTATGGTAAGTGTTTACCATACACTATGCTTTAAACTACTTGATTGCAAAATAGCAAGATAGAAGATGGGATGTTGGAACAACCTGGGTTGAAATCATGGTGTCCTATGTCCAAGCAAGACATTTTGCACACCCAGTAATCAACACAGACCTCCCCCTTCTGGCTTTGTTTTTGCAGGTGTATCACAACATCATGCCACTGCTGCCTTTGCTACTGAGAGACAACGGTCTTTATTTCCCTGTAAGACGTCACTTGTCAGAAAAACATAAATACAGGTTGTTTACAGCATTTGCTGTAAGGAAACCACAAATGCTCTCAATTTTCTATCGAGAACAGAAGGGTGAATGGCTACTGTTGCTGGGAAAATAATGGGTGGGACACGCATGTTGTACAGTATGTCCATGTAAGCCAGCTAAGTACCCCCCCCGTTAATACCATCAGCCCAGCTTCCTGCAGTGGAGTGCATCTCTCAAAGCCCCTTGACTCACAGACAAATTGACTGTCATCAGCAGTGACATGATGCACTGGCATTCCCGTCACACATTCACCTCTTCCCTGCACTCTGTTCCACGTCCTATGGTTGTACTGAGAGTTGTGCCCATCTACTCCCATTTTCGTAGCAGAGATGGAGTTTGACAGACTCCTCGGCTCCCACCATTCAGCCTGCCAGCGTGTCCTTGTCCATCCGCCTCTCCCTCTATGACTGACGCCCTCAATCGACTTGGAGCTCAAACGAAACACAAAAGGCAAACAACCTGTAAGTTACACTCAAGGACAAGAGCGCTTCTCCAACTTTATGTAACGTGCTGAAGTTCAGAGAAAGAAAACAGGAGTTGGGAGGCAGGGTGCGTTTTCAAACAAAGTCCCGAGCTGAATGTCAATTCACTTCAAAGAGAGAAATAAATAAGACACTGGGCTATGTTTCACAGTGCCTTTACACAAAGGCTTTAGCACCTTTATCCACCTACTTCCAGAGAGCAAGAGACACCTTGGCAGTTATCAGCATAAGGCAGGGGCCATTAAGCTGACAGCTTTTTTCAAGGGAGGTTTAACCTGCACCTTAGAGAGTATTTTGTGTTAAGACAGAACAAACGCTTGCTTAAATAAATGCACTTCTAACCCCATCGTTTGTGACACAATCACGTTCTTTTTGGGAATCTTTTTAATATGCTGTCCACAGCATTAAAATGTTGCTGTATGCAACAACACAAACAGTCTAAGGATCAGTTACATGAACCAGAGTGTGGAGTCTCTGCTGGAACTTACTGTATTCTATACTGTATTCCTAAAAAGGTTATACAAATATTATTAATTTTAGCAACAAATGAAAAGGATGTAATCTATTCTTCAGGCTTTGTTATGCATCAGAGCAGCCAAATGTCTGGCCTGGCTGGCAATAATGAAGGAAGATATGGGGTTTTTCCTTTCCCTCAAAGAGGTCAACTTGTGGTCAAAGACGACCGTCTCTGAGAGGCATAATTTGGCAGGTAGACTATGATGCTTCAGTGAGACCTGTCATCAGTGACAGGACAGTGATGATGCTTTATCTAAAGCTTCGGGTGAACCTGATTTATTACTTTATATTATTGTGCAACTGTGGGCTAGAAAGATGTGAATAGCAAGCTGCAATCAGAGAGTGAAGAAAAATATACACCGATCAGCCATAACATTATGACCACCTCGACACCCTGACTGGTCTGCGGCTCTGCAGCACCATAGGCAACAAACTGTGATGCACTGTGTGTTCTGAAACCTTTCTATCAGAACCAGCATGAACTTTTTCAGCAATTTGAGCTACAGTAGCTTTTTACACATCCACTTTGAGGATAACATTTCCACTTGCTTCCTTATATATCCCACTCACTGACAGGTGCAATGATAACCAGATAATCAGTGTTATTCACTTCACCTGTCAGTGGTCATAATGTTATGGCTGATTATTGTATGAGGTCAGAGATATTCTAATTTTTAAACAATGTTACAAAGATTTGATGTTTAAATGTAGTATAAAGTATAAACATGCTTCTACATTATTTCCATTCATGATTAGACCTCTTTTTGCCAATGTTAATTCAGGCACAAGTCAGTCAGTACAGTCATGTTAATGGGAATGTTAATGCTTTGTTTAGGAATAAGTGTTTTCTGGTAACTGATGCAAACTGAGAAACTGAAAGAGAAAGAAAAGGATGGGAGAGGACCAGATGAAGACATTGGGTTTGGAATGAGTCATGTTTGAGGAAATCAGGGTGGTGTGTATTTGAGTGGGTCTGTGGCTATGGCTGTGGCCATTGTTAAATTTGCATGTCCACTCTACATGATGTGATGCTTGATAGCCTGAAGAAAATCCCCCAGGAGCCAGCAGTTGCCCCCTCACGGTCCATTTGAGCTGACACATTGTGCTGTTGGCTTCAACATCTCCTTCTGCCCTTCCATCCTGTCCTTTAATCTTCCTTTCTTCTCTTCTTTCTTTCTTTCTTTCTTTCTTTCTTTCTTTCTTTCTTTCTTTCTTTCTTTCTTTCTTTTTGAGTATGTTCAGTAACCACCACTTTTATTTCAATCTTTGCTTCTTTTTGTTATACATATACTCTATGTAATCCTTGTTGAGTTCAAGAGAAAGATAAAATTGGTGGATACAATTTCAGCAGCCCTGATTTCATCGTCCACCAACGCAAATTGCAGTATAGTAAAAAACAAAAACCTAAATATTCAATGATTGCTACAGTATTAGATCATGCATAATGCAGTGTTCATTCTGATCATGAAATTAATATTCAGTCACTCTTGATGGTCAGTAACAGAATGGGCAATCATTTTCACATCTTCACATGAGGTCAAAATATGTTGGCTTGTTTTTGAAGGAGAATAATGAATTAAAAAAAGGCCTCACCACTTGATGTCTTTTAGCTTTAATAATGAGTTTGACAAAGCTAAGCCAACAGCAGTTAAACAAATTGAGTACAGAGCATGTCGTACGTGGTGCAGATTGTGAAGTTGAGTGAAATTTGTAATTTTAGGCTATATAAATAGGAATGATTTGATTTGAACCAAACATGGGCAAAGAATAACTTGTTGTTCAGTTCATCCTCTTGCTATCATTTTATTTAAGTCACTGTATTCTGTTCTGCCCAGATGAAACAGTACAGCTGGTGTCATGTACTCACTGGATTGCACTGCCGGTGCTGAATTCTTCTTTAAGGTGACTTTCCTAACACAAACAAAGCTCCCTCTGGACCATCAATGATCAGGGGACGTGCCACATCACACAAACTCACCGACCATGATCAATGTTCTATTTAACATGTCTGGTTTCAGGCCAAATCGATGCAAGACAGGTGATCCCTGACCTACACACAGCAGTTTGTTATCTCTTCTGAATGAATTTAACCCCCTTTTGCAATTATATCTCACCAGGATCATGAAGTCTGCACAGGGAGCAGTTATAGCACCTGGAATGCTTTGTGTCTCTGCGTTGACTATTGATTTAGTCTGTTTCGGGCTCAGGTTAATGAGAGCTTTTAAATAATGCAGACACAGCAGCGCCATGTACACAGAGCATCACCCCTTCTATGGACGCCCCTTTTTCACTTTTTTCTTTCTTGTTTCCTTACCTCCTTCCCTTTCTCATTATTATTCTCCCCCTTTTCTCATCATCATTTTGTCCTGTACACAACATCTGAGCATCCATACAAGTTGGTTGAGGAAGGGCACCC